AACTAAGGAACAGAAGACAAGGATCTTCCTCCAGAATCAACAGAGAGAGAACCTTTCTCCAGAACTGGCACCAGAATTTGGACTTCAAGTCTCCTAAACTTCAAGAAAATAAATTTGCATTCTTTAAAACCAAAAAAAAAAAAGTTCAAGAAAAACTGAAATTAAAACTATTCCACAAACTTCTTTGGGGGGGATGTAGGGAATAGGAGTAAGGAGTGAGGGTTAGGGTTGGGACTATGGCCCAGGGCTTCGTTTATTGTTAGGGTTATGGTTAAGACAAGAGTTCATGTTAGGGGTAAGAGTTGGGCTAGAGCTAAGTGTAAAGCTTGATCTACTTTTTAGGGTTAGTTAGATTTTTTTTTAATGTGTTTATTTTTCCTTGAAATCTGTTTGAGTCCCTCTTCATTTGGAAGTTTTATAACTATACTGTTCCCTCTTATTATTTTTAGGTTTTGTTGTTTTTGCCGCAACTATATCTCTGGTTCTCTATTTTCAGTTTATTTTGTATACTTCATCTGGGTTGGTAGTCCTGGTATGGTGGTTCAAACTCACCAGCTGCTTCTCGGAAACTCTATACAGGGTGGCTGAGTTGGAACAGACTCTTACAGCACTTTAACAGCAACAATGTATCTGAATTGAGTCTAGGTGATATTGTCATGTATGTTAGTCTCAAGTTACTATGTGCAATTGTTGGTTCTCTGTCCAAAGAACTCCCTTTAGTATTTTTTGCAAGGTTGGTCTGGTTTTTATAAATTATTTTAATTTCTGTTTACCTGAAAATGACCCAATTTCATCACCATAGTTGATGGATAGCTGTGCTGGATATATATGATTGTTAGTTGGCAATTTTTTTTCTTTCAGTGTTATATATGTCGTCCCAATTTCTTCTTGCCTGTATGGTTTCTGCTGAAAAATCAGAGCTTAGTCTTATTAGTTCTCCTTTGTAGGTAACTTTTCATTGTTCCTGAGGTGCTCTCAGGATCCTTTCCTTGTCTTTGATTTTGAAAAAGTTTGATTACATCTTGGTGTCTTCCTTTGGGGATTAACCTGTTTGGAGTTGGTTCAACTTCTCTCTGTCCTATCCTCTGATGCTCAGGGTTTCAGGATCACAATCTGTATCTGTTTCACTCAGTCTCCAATGTCTTTGTTGCAAAGGACTGGCTCAGTGCATCTGCTTACTCTGTCATCTTGCCCTAGGCCCTTCAAAATTTTTGAAGACTCCTAGTATATAACACGGAGTCCTGGTGTGGTGCTGTGGGTTCATGTGCTGGACTGCAAAGTCACTGGAACCACAACATTGGCGGTTCAAGCTCACCAGCCACTCCTCAGAAACCCTATACACGGTTGCTATGAGTCGGAACCGACTCAAAGGCACTTAACAACAAGTATATAACAAAGAACATTACCAATTGTCATTTGAATATATCTATATCTCTCTGATGACTTTGAAAACAAGTATTAATATTTGTAGCCCAGTGGCGTGGCGCTGTGGGTTAATGCACCAGATTGCAAAGCCGTTTGAACTGCAAGGTTGGCAGTTCAAGCTCACCAGCCGCTCCTAGGAAACCCTATACAGGGTCGCTATTGGTCAGAACCAACTTGATGGCACTTAACAACAACAACATCACCTACATAGTAAGTATTCAATAAATGTGTATTGAATACAGTTCACACTTGTATACCCTGGATCAATTTATTTGCCCACTTTCCCCAAATTTTATGGATTTCTAAATGGATTTTATTCCATGTGAAATTTCAACTTCTTTAACAAAACTGCTTTGAGGTTTTTAAGTTTTATTTTCATTAAATCAATGCTGAATAAATAAACCAGTTGTAATGTTACAAATGGAAGTAGTCAAAAAAAAAAAAATCAAACATTAAATGACTATATATTCCTGAGTGTTTTTGTGTACATTCTCCCCCGCCCAAAAAAAACAGAGGGAATAGAAACAAATACTGTTGAATGAGGAGACTGTAATCATTGCAATGAAACAAGTGTAAAACTGATGTTCCCCATGTAAACTAATCACTCAATTCACAATAAAAATTTAAATTAAAAAAAAATCAAACAACATATTGAATTGGAAAATCTATTGCAAGAGACCTCCTTAATTGTTAAAGCGCACAGACAAGAAGTCACTTGGAGGACTAAGGTGCACCTGACTGAAGACATGGTATTTTTAATCACCTCATAAGCATGTGAAAGCTGAATTATGAATAAGAAAGACCAGGGAATAATTAATGAATTTGAATTGTGTTAGTGATGAATACTAAAGGTACCATGGACTACCGTAAGAACAAACATCTACCTTAGAAAAAGTACAGCCAGAATGCTCTTTGGAAGTGAGGATGGCAAAACTTTGTCGCTGTACTTTGGATAAGTTGTTCCTGGAGAAGAACATCATGCTTGGTAAAATAAAGGGTCAGCGAAACAGAAGAAAACCCCCAACAAGATGGATTGACACTGTGGCTACAACAATGTACTCAAACTTAACAATGATTGTGAGGATGTCTAAGGACTGGGCACTGTTTCATTCTGTTGTGCATAGGGTCCCTATGAATGGGAACCAACTCAACCACAACTAGCAACAACATTTAAAAGTTCAATGATAGTATCAAACACTTCCTTATTCACCAAGCAAAAGCCTAACAAGAGACACCCGTTTCCCTAGACTCTGGCGGATCTGACATCCCCAGAGCCCTCACAGACGTAGTACGGTGCACACAAATCCAACTGAAGGCACACCAAATGTAAAGGGCAGAGGCACAAACCTAGTATACAAAGTCACTGGAAGCTTAGAACAGCAAAGAAACCGATCTCAACTATGCTCACAACTTGTTCTGGGAGAAGATGTTTGCGTGTCCCTGCGCTTCAGGGGCAGCCCTCCTCGACTCCTGGTAGCTCTCCTTCCTAAGGAACCAATTCGTCTCCTTTTGCTCTATCATTCTACCTGCCCCGCAAGAGGTTCCTATCCCAAGCTCACACCAAGTAATCCCCACCCCACCCCACCCCCCAAAAAAACGGAGTAGCATCAATGAGCCTTTGTAGAGAGTGGCTTGAGGATCGTAAGTCAGAGAGTGAAAAGAGAGACATCAGGGGCCCCTTTCCGGCCACCTGAAGACTTAAGAAAGGCAGGCCTTCCTCTATCTCTGCTCACAGCTTCAGGCCTGCATTAGAGCCATACAACCTGGGAGGAGAGGCAGCTGGAGAGGTCACAGTCAGCCCTGTGCAGGGGTCAAATGTCAGAGCCTCAGTAAAGAGGCGGGCCCAGCAGGGGCGGGGTGCGGAAGGGACCTACCTAGTACCTGGTGTTCTAAGAAAGCTGCTGAGGTGGGAGAGCAGCGTCTAGTGCCGAGTTCAGCCAGGCCAACCCTCCCCGCCTGTGCACGAAACCTGGACCCGCCATAGCTGCCATCTCCCCCTACCACCACCCCACTGTATCTCCCCCCCCTCCCCCGTCCCCCGTCATCACCCTCAGCGTCCTTTGGAGAAGCGCAGGCCCCGCCCCCAGTTCACCCCACAGAGCCGCCTGGGGGCAAAGGCCTAGTATGGCAGGATCCGCTGGGGGTAGCCAGGTTCAGGGATCGGCCTGGGCCAGTGCCACTTACCGAGCTCCAGGTTCCTCCTCTTCCACCCGCTCTGCTCCCAGGTCCGCTCACTCCCAACACCACCAACGCAGCTGCTGCTAAGGGCTCACAGGCACACACCCGACCTCCCCCGACCCAGGTCGTCCGTCGTGCCTCTCCGGGTCCTAATGTCCGACTATGTAATATGCTCGTTCACTCCCGCTTCCTGAGAACAAACTCAGACCACAATTCCCAGCAAGCATCTCAAAGTATACAACTCTCGAAAGGCATCGCGAGAAAAAAATCAGCAAAGGAAACATTATTGAGGACTAACTATTCAAGCAGCGTTTACATTTTTTTTTTTTTTAATAGGTGGTAGTGGTGATTATGTGCCGTGGAGTTGGTGCCAACTCATAGTGACCCTGTACAGGGTTTCCGAGGATGTAAATATTTACGGGAGCAGAAAGCCTCATCTTTCTCCCGGAAAATCTGGTAGGTTCGAACTGCTAACCTATGGTTCGCAGCCCGACTTGTAACCACTACGCTACCAGACTCATTATTATCTCGACAATTCCGCTTCTAGGAAAGGATGTATTCTCCACCCACACCATTGGCAAATTTTGGTAAGATACGTTCAAAGTTATTTATTGCATAGTACTAGTAAAAGATTGCAAAGAAACACATTCATTCAATAAATATTTCTGTACCTACAATGTGCAAACTAAGCACTTTATGTTAATTTGGCAAGTTACTTAACCTCCCAGAGTCTTTGTTTCAATGGCAAAATAGAAGATTAAGTAAAATGTGCTGAGCACTGTTGTTAGGTACCTCGGAATCAGTTCTGTGTACAACAGAACAAAACATCACCCAATCCTGTACCATCCCCACAATTGCTATTACGCTTGCTGCTGCCACTGTGTCAATCCATCTAATTGGGGGTCTCCCTGATCTCCCACTTTATTAAACATAATATCCTTCTCCAGGGACTGGTCCCTCCTGATAAGTCCTAAGTATGAGAGACGAAAGGAGCAAGGTGGCTCTCTCCAAATGATAGGCACTGAATTGTGAACCACTAGGTACATGGTTTCAGTCTGCCAGCCACTGAAGATTTAAATCCTCACAAATCCTATACAGGGTCTCTATGAGTCGTAACTAACTAGACTGCACTTAACAATAACAACATGAAAGATGAAGTCTGGCCATATTGGCTTCTAAGAAGCATTCTGGTTGTACTTCTTCCAACACAGATTTGTTTGTTCTTCTGACAGTCCATGGCACCTTTAATATCCTTCCCTAACACCATAACTCAAATGTATCAATTCATCTTATGGTCTTCCTTATTCATTGTTAAACTTTCACATGAATATGAGGGTACTGACAACACCATGGCTTAGGTCAGCACAGTTTAGTCCTCAAACTTACATCTTGGCTCTTGAACTCTTAAAGGAGGTCTTGTGCAGATTTGCCTAATGCATTAAGTCCTTTGATTTTTCATGCAGCTTCCAAAAGTGTTGGTGGATCCAAGCAAAATGAAGCCTTTGACAACTTCAGTCTTTTCTCCATTTATCATAATGTTGTTTATTTCTCCAGTGGTGAGGATTTTGTTTTCATTACATTGAGGTGCAAATCATACCAAAGACTGTTTGTTGTTTTGATCTTCATCAGCAAGTATTAATAGCTCCTCTTTCAGCAAGAAGGTTGTATCATCTGCATATTACAAGTTGTTAATGAGTCTTCCTCCAATCCTGAAGCTACATTCTCCTTCATATAAACCAACTTCTTGGATGATTTGCTCAGCATACAGACTGAATAAATGTGGTAAAAGAATATAACCCTAGTACACACCTTTCAGAAATCCAAAAAGGAAGAACACACTCAGCATTTCTCAAGCTGGGGAAACTGAAAAATAAATTCAAGCCTCGACTTTCATTATTGAAGGATTCTCTGGGCAAACTGTTGAATGATGTAGAAAGCATCAAAAGAAGATGGAAGGAATACTCAGAGTCACTGT